TTGTGTGAATCTCAAAAACTAAGAAATTTCTAGAATTCAAAATCGAGCGACCGAAACTAGATGAGTTATACACCATTCGATGCAGTTTTTCACGTTGATTCCGAATACGGTATTATATTTGAAGGGAAGTGCATTTATAAGCGAGAAAACCATGAAATATAGAACACAATGGACTGGACGAAGGACGAAAATAATTCTCCAGTAACACATGTACAGACCTAGAAGTCACAGGGCTACAATGCACATTTCTCGCCAGATGAACATATGATTGCCATATTAATTACGTAAGGCAAAAATTGTTGGAAAGTCAAACAACAAATGAGCTCCGACAAGTGAGTCTCCCGACAATTGAGCCCTCGATAGTTGAGCCTTATGAAAGCTGAGCCCCTCAACATTTGAGACTATCGCAAATGAACATTATATTACTTAATTCGATGAGATGTGTGGATAAAGTGTCTAAAGACGAATTGACGAATCGCAACTTTCAAGCGTGAAAATGATGCAACAATTCGCGTTTTACCCTTATTTTGCGAATTCGTAGGTCAAACACGATCAATTCGCAAATAATTCGTAAAATTAGTTTACGAATTGTGTTCACTGTTTTTGGAACTAGATTGATTCGTAAATTCGAATTAGCGAATTCGTATTACGAACTGATCCGGTTGAAAATGGGTCCACGAATTGAAAAACCCATTCTGCAAATTCATTGTGAATCGATGTGTACGCTTATTAGGCTACGTAGGAACAGGACACATTTCTCTGAGGTTAAAAATAGATAGATTCGTTTCTTCGCATCGATTCGCATACTTCTCATACCAATTCGCCGTTATTCTTACGAATTCGTAAAATACGGCATGTTGTGTAAATACTCACAGCCATCCTCACTGCCCCCCCCTCCGCTCGGCACATGCACACAAAAGGGAGAGAGATTTCCCTCTGTTTTGTTTCGCACAGATACATGTATTAATATAGTCTATTGTCACATTTTTTGATTAATTCATCAACTGATCAATTCGTATTCTACGAATTCGTAAAAATAACGGCGAAGTGAGGTGAGACGTATGCGAATCGATGAGAAGAGACGAATCTATCTGCTTTTAATCTCAGAGAAAAGTGTCCTGTCCCTGACATTAATTCGTATTTTACGAATTCTATTTCTGAATTCGTCGGTTATGCTTTGGCATCTATGAATTCGTAAATTCGCAGTTTATCGTATTTTTGCCAATTTACGAATTCGTATACGAATTCTTGGGAATCAAAATGATCATTTCACGAATTCATCGATGATCGACCAATTCGATTTACAAATTCATAGGCCGGAAATTTCTTTCTTACGAATTAGTCCTAATTTACGAATTGGCAAAAGGAAGAAAAGACGCAATTTTTTGGTTCGTTTTTGATCATTTTCGTTAGTTCGCATTGAATTACGAATTCGAAAAACAATGGTAAAATGCGAATTGTTGCATCATTTTTACGCCCAAAAATTGCGATTCGTCAATTCGTCTTTAGACACGTTGTCCACACTAATGAATTCGATACGATGAAAGAGGACCAACATATAGTGCAACATCTGTCTATCCCCCTAACTACTCGCTAGTCTTAATGAGCAAGTCAATAAGTTTTACAGGAACGAGCAAGTTTGTCGAAATCGATTTCGTTTATTCGTCAAGTCCATATTTTTCATTGTAGACTATACTATTTTTTCGACGCGCAAGTAAAACTTAATCTATGTAACGTTATGTTGAAAGTTAGTTAGTTATATCCATTACCGTCACCGGTGTAGGGTGAGAATAAAAAACAATTGTATCGATCGAGTAACTTTGGATGATCCACAATACATTAAAGTCACAGATTATAATCATGGTCCGAATCCCGACAAAATGATAGCAGTGAAACTCAAATCCGAGATTATTGAACGATCCACTGATTATTAAGAAATTGCAGGCTGCACTTGTAAAAATAACAAAACGCTCTGCCTATGAGTATATGGATGAGTAACTACAACAACTGATTGCTGCTTTTAATTTAAAAACAAGAGAACAGTACTTTAAAAGAGTAAGGGCTTTCTTCAATTTTTGATGTTAATGATGATCTGTATAAGTAAACTAATTTCACATGTTATTATCTATATGAGGCTCAAATGTCGGGACTCAGATTTCATGAGGCTCAACTCTCTAGAGCTTAACTGTCGCGAGGCTGCAGGCTCAATTGACAGTGTACAAGTTATTTGATATACCATCGAACACTCCACTCTGATATGTACAACATTTTTTTTGCAAATTACTTTTTCCGTCATTCTTATGTCATCTTTTGATAATGTCTAGGTAAGCATCGGGTCGAGCTACCCATTTCGATTTCGAATAATCGATGTTCGATCGAAATCGAAAATGTCTTACTCTAAGTGCAAAACGAAATTTTTATTATCGCAAAATACTAAAGCGACGTAAGAGTTCAGATTACTTCTATAAAGTGTAAAATGAAGTTAACATGCAAAATAGTATAAAAGTGTGGAATCCTCTTTAATGTGTGGATCTGAGAATAACAACCATCAGAAAAAAAACAGACTTTAATTTTCGGGTAACTCGAAGCTCAATGCATACCTAATAGTGTCTATTGTCCGAGCTGTCCAAGTAAATAGATCGACAGCATCGAAAAATTTTATTGTAAAATTTAAAAATAATTTCACTTCGAACAATCTAAGAAAGAGAATAAAAATGGAAAATATAAAATGTGACATTTTTTTGGGCATATACTCTTGTTTTTCTTTGTAAATTTACATTATACTTGAAATAAATGATGGTACAATTTGTATATGAAATAGATATCGTTCAGTTCTTAAATCATAATTACAGCTATCAATTTTAAATCGAACACCCGTTCGTAATAGAATTTCTTCTTCATCGTCAATATAAGCAATCGATGTTAGATCAACATATTGATCATTAGATGATATTCGTTGTATTTGAATAATATATAAAACATTCGAACCGAACATTTCAGCTACTTCACGTACTTTTGATGTCGATATAAATGATGACCATTTATAATAATAACCTTTTCCAATAGCTTCTCCATACATTTTAATTTGATCAAAAGACAATTCTTCACCTCGATAGGCAATAATAGATGGAAATTTAACAGATGATTTAGCAAATTATTTGAATTGATTTCGTATAGATAAATATTCATTATGTCGTATGCCGATATAGTTATAAAGGAGATAACAAAATGGACCAAGTGTTTTTAATTTTGTTCGATCATTATCTAGTAATGTTTCATTGACAATTTTCAATAGAAAACATGGTTTTGTATACAATCGTGCACAACATTCTTGTAATTTTTCAATTTTTTTCTTTTTTATCAATCGAATTTCTTTTGTTAAATGTTGAGCTTCACTAAGAAAATCAAGATTTTTACCTTCAAATAATATTCTACTAATAAGAGCATCGATTCATAATGAAAGTTTAATTTTTAATGTTCCTTTAGTAAATATAATAAGTCAATCAGTAATAAAACTAGATCCATAATAAGGAGTATCATCTGTAATCGAACGTTTTATTGGTTGTACAAAATTAAATCGTTCACGACGATAATAAGAAACGTTATCTTCTCTATTTGAACATCGTCGAACAGGTCGTTGTTTATTCACATTGTGAATATTAATTTGTAAAAGTTTATTTAAATCAATTTTATGATTTTCATTAATAATTAATTCTTTTTCATGTTCTTGATAACCTTGTTCAATTTGATTATTGATTATAGGTATAAATGGTGTCCATTCATCAATTTGATTTAATGACCATGGATTTATATTAGATTTCCACGACCACACTATTTGCTCTTCTTCTCTATTCATGTTGTTAAAAAAAATAAAATACGCATAATTTCATTTAACTAACCTTTCCGAAAGAGAAAAAAGTGATCTAACCTCAGATAATTTTTTTTAAAAGATTCGCCATTCGATACTCTACAAAATCATACCTAAACTATAATTTCAGAACTTCAATCAAGAAAACTAAGCCAATTAGATGAAAGTCGAAAAAAATGTAAACTTTCAAAACTCGAAAATTATTTCGACTTGAACTTTTTCTTCTGCTACTATTTTCCCTAAAAAGTGTAGCAGAAGGGAGAACGCAGTTTATGTTTAGTACTTTCAAATGTGCTCTTTCTCGTGGTCTGTAAAATACTTTTTTAGAGCAGATGGTGTGCTTGAGAACAAAGTTACAAAAATACATCAAAAGTTAACAACTTCCCCGTTTCCAACAATGTGCTCAATCAAGAAACGAAAAAGACGACTGAAGTCTTATTTAGCAGTTAGATAGAGACGAGCAATCATTTCTGATCAAAACAAAGCAAACTCGACCGAAAAAGCTTTTATTTTGATGGAGTTATTGGGCTTTTACTGAAAGCACTACTATACCAAAAATTTAAAAAATTAATGAAAAAATGCATGACAACCGATAGAAAAACTATTATTTCGCTGTGGCTTTTGTTGAAAAAAAATCTGAAGCGTAGCTAAAAGATAGAGCAAAGTCAGGGCTACAAAATGGACTAATTCAGCTTTTCTTACTTTCAAAACTTTAACACAAATCGAGTTTTGAAAGTTTACATTTTTTTCGACTTTCATCTAACTGGCTTAGTTTTCTTGATTGAAGTTCTGAAATTATAGTTTAGGTATGATTTTGTAGAGTATCGAATGGCGAATCTTTTAAAAAAGATTTGGTCGATAGCGTCAAAACTGACTGACTTACAGCGAAAATAAAGCAGTGTAATTCTTTATGCCCCACCCATTAATTGTTTAAAAGACGTATCGAGTGGTCCAGCTCAGCGACATACCCAGCGCTAGGCCAAAGGTGGGCCATGGTCCATCCCTTAGAAATTTTGTTTTCTTCATTTTGTAGTAGAAAAAAATATTTTGATTGAAATCGAAAATAAAAATACTATATAAGAACGTCTTTTACTTTTTTCTTTGGCCAAAAAAAGTCGTTTAACCGATCGCTGACTGAAATCCTGGGTACGTCACTGATCCAGCTTAAATGGCGGTCTTAGTATTTCATCTATATCTCATTTACTTTTCATTGCTTACACTTGAACTTTTTTCCATTCAATTCTCTACAAGAACGAACAAGGATCTTTGATCTCAATTTTAAATACGAAAAATTGAACCATTAATACTATGAGACTTCAGTATGTTCAACTTTTCAACGCAATTTTCTAAAAAAGCCTTCGATGGTTACTATGATTCTTCAAATGAAACAAATCGCTAACGCAACTTTTTTTGTACAATTCAGAGTGCTCTTTCTCGTGGTGCAGGGTGAACTCAGTTTCAACCAACTATTATGACTTAAGAACTATATAATTTCCTCAACTTGGATAAATGATCATAATTTAGCGTATTTTTCTCATTACATTCAGAATTTTGTTTTTTTAAAGTTCAAAAATCGATGTGCCCTTTGTTCGTCTTTAATATAAAATTAAAATAAGCTAAAAAAGTACTAGTTTTGATCGACATATGCAGATTTTCTGAATGCCTCGAAACTGCTGTTCAAAAACGTGATTTTTGCAAAATGCCAAAAAACAAAAATTTATTATGCGCTGCACATCGTGATGTGAGAACTAGAGTTTTACGGGTTTGAGATTTTCGAACCCGATCCCGATCCGGTCTCGTAGATTTGAAACTCGTCCCGATCCGAACCTGCCAAAACCTTTTCACTGTCCCGATTTCGATTTTTTCAAATAAAACCCGTCCCGAACCCGAAATATTTTTTTTCTAGCGCAGTAGTGCTCTCGTTCATTTTAACATTAGTAAATTTCTACTCGTAGCGGTACAAAAATAAAATTCATTTGGTCGGTTGTACGTCTAGTGCGAAACACTTGTCTGTTTTCCTTATTTTCCATCCTTTTTATTTATTTAGAATTGTCTCTTATCTCTCCCTATATCAAACTAGAATAATCGGGATCGGAAACAAAACCGATCCCGTTCAGATGAACTGAAACCCGTCCCGAACCCAAAGCCGAAAAAAAGCTATCGGGATCGGGTTAAACCCACAGGACTCTAGTGCGAACTTTTTTTATTACAACTACACGACAAGAGCTTTTGAAGCGCTACAATGATGGTTAGTTCATTTTCTTAATGCCTCAAAGTGCAAACAAATAAAACCAAGAAAATCTATTTTTTTTACTAGAGAATTTAGAAAGTTGTACATCTTGAAGCTTCACACTATTATTAGTTTAATTTTTCATATTTAAATTTGAGATCAAAGACTCTTACCACCTGATAAGTTATACAAAACAGAATACTCATTTAACATATCTGAATGATTATTTATGATTTTTCAGAGTTGCCAGATTATTGCAATAAAATGATTCAAATATGCAGTTAAAATTAACTCAAAATTATTTCAATGGAAAAGTTAATTTTAATTAATTTAAATTTATACTATAGTTAAATTGATATTAACTAGGTTTTCATAGGTTTTGATCAAATTAATAAATAAATGGAGAGCTTGATAGTTATAAAACAAAAATTTTATTTTAATTTTTTCTTTGCGATACTCAACTTTTTGTGTGAAGCATATCTGCGGCTTCACTTCTTTTGAACTCGAAGTCGAAATAATTTTTGTCCAGGTACTTGCGTTGTTTTTGTTAATGTTAGGTGTGCACCGGTTTTGAAGCCAAAAAACCGACACAAAAAAAAAATGTTCGGTTTAAACCGACACTGAAAATATTTCAAACCTTGTTTTTTAAGTTTTAAAATGGTGTAATGATGTCTGCTCTACGGCATGTTATTTCATGTATAACTACACTGCTTGTCTCGTTCTCTGCTGGTCGTTTCAATGAACGTGGTTATCACATGAGTTTGACATTATTAGTTAGTATTACTGGATATGTTTTGTTAATCACTTTAACAAAATACGGGTCAATGGTATTGTACATTGCAACATGTATTACTTGTATTGGTACTTATTCGACAATTCCACTGATCATTGAAGAATTATTTCGTAAGGTGAAAATTTTTAATAAGAATAATAGGACTAAAGTCACCTTTTTAAACATAAGTATAAAGTAACAACTTTATTTATTTGAGACG